TATATATATATATATAATCAGTAATAATGCAGTCTATTTACTTCATGAACATGAAAGTTTGCAGACATTATCAGCCCCCACTACTGATTTTTGTTGCTACATTTGTGGAAAAAAAATCATTTATGTTTTTTATACGAATCAAAATACTATTAAAATTAAGAACTATTAATAATTTATATTTTTATTTAAAATTTAGATTTAATCCAGATGTAAAAAGAATAAATCTACAAAATTTAAGAGCATTATTTCCGATAATGCCCGACACCATTTGGTATAGTTATATGATCATTGCGCTTACTGGAATGTCCGGAGTTTCCAAGATGACTTCCGGTACGTAGTCCACCCATAACTCCCTGTCGATTGTGTCGGCTATCTTTTTCTTTAACTGAGGCGTGAAAGTATGACCTTTCTTCAGCTTCACAAACAGAACTGCCCTTGTGTCTCCGTCTGTTCCATCTTGACCTACGCAGATGTAATCTTGCAGCTCTTCCATCTGATGGACTGAAATTAAACAAAAGCTACATGAAGGAACAGAACTCAAAAAGAAAGCAAATGCAAATTATTAGCTTGGTGAATAAGCTAACTTAACTCCTCCTCTCCTGTATGTAAGATGCACAATTCATGAAAATCAATATAAAGTTGTACCGTATTACGCGCATTTTGAATCATAACATCATACATATTTGCTTCAATTTGAATAAACTCCACCTTAAAATATTGAATTTTCCACGAGAGTAGTGATATAATATCGATTTTGTATTTTGCTCACATTTTAAACATTCCTCATATTTTTAAACCTATCCAGAAATTTTTCTCATATATTATAATTGGCGTTAAACAGTCGATCCAAATCTGAGTCAGCTACTATAAATGTTCAACTTAGTAGCCTTGTAATTTTGAACCCAATTCAGAATATAAGGGAACTCCTGGATCAAGTATTGAGAAAAACTATTCCTCGTGGAGGACTTTTCGATGGAACTAACCTGAATTTGTCTTACATGGAAAGGAAAACTACGAAAACCTCCTTAGGTAATAGAACCTGAAGGTAATTGGATGGCAAGGGGATTCTAACTCATACTTCAAGGAGGTTCTAACCCATAATCAACCACTGAGAATATGTCTACCTCTGAGAAACAGAACTCGTATCAACCATTCGGCGTTGGAATTCAAACCCGGTTCATCTCGTTGAGTGGCGAGCGCTCTATCACTTGAGCCACCGTGGTGGCGCAAGAAAAAAAGGAAAATAAATGAAAATATAAACACAGTGCATGGTATATAAACATGATGTAACAAATTTTGAATTTCTGCTATACAAGGAACACCTATGGCAATTACCTTCATACAAAGTTGAAGTTGGAATTTTTCAAGTGTGTCGCGGTAGCAAATTTTTTGTTATACAAATACTTGAAGAGCTATTATGCCCAACAAATGAAAACATTAATAAAATAAAGAAAATTTAATATTAAGAACATTGCTTTAAGTCGTTATTTTTTATGATCCTAATACATTATAAGACGAACTACAATCTTGTTTTAAGAGGACGCTATGGTTAGAAGAAAGGCCATTTAAATAAACTTTTTCAATCAAAAAAAAATTTTTTTTTTGTAGCTTTTACGCGTACTTATACAATGGGGGTCACACGTGGTAAAAAATTTATGAAAGAATGTTTTTTTTTAAATTTTATTTTATTTATGGATACTGTCAGTTATAAATACAAATTTATGTTTACATTTAAGATACACATGATTACATTACACAGGAATACTCTTACTTGCAAAATAGATGTCTCCGGAACCGAATCGCTCTCCATGTTGTTTCAAAGTATCATCGCTGCAAAAAAATACAAACAAATAAATCCTTTTTTTTAAACAAACGTTGTAAAAAGTGTTTTTTTTTTGTTGAAAAAAAACTAGTATATTTATTTATAGCAAGGTGGTTTTGCTCTTTAATATTTTTAATGAAATCACTGTATAATTTAATTTTCTCAATCATTCTTTAAAAACATTAAAACATACAGGTGAAATTCAGACTATATATTTATAGTATTATAGATGAAATTTTGTAGAATTATTTCATATAATAGCCAAAATAACTAACACAAGTTACAAATCTACTGCTATAAATTTTTGGTATAGGGTGTTCAAAAACATTATTTTCTGTTAGTAATTTATTATCGGTCCCTCAAAAGTCTAAAAACTTTAAACTTCATTGATATGTATGAGAATAGTATTTTTTGAGAAATGTGAGAAAATTTATTTGTATAGAAGTGTTTCCATTGTTTTATCCACCTCTTGTGCATCTCGTATTAATATACATAATGGTTCTAAAGTGTTTAAATGAGAATAAAATGAAAAAAACAAGCAAAATAGAACAGGATTAAACCTTCTTCCGATCACAACTATTCCATGCGTTTTAGGATTTATCCAACATTCGTCGTTTTGAGACCACACACCTGAAAGACAATATTTTCTTTCTTTATAAAATGCATGTTTTTTTTTATATGAAATATAAATTATAATTCTATAAAAACTTTCTTTTTGAAATTTTTATCAAGATTTTTAATACTGATCGCAAAATACTGTAATGATATCATACATAATTGTTTTGAATAATCAAAATGGTACGTCTTATTAGGTTAACAAGAGAGGCTTTGATATTTTTGAATTAAATGAAAACGCATTTCGAAACAAATGTGTAACAAATAAGACAAATAATGCATTTCATAAGAATAAAGTAGGCACGTTTTGAAAATAAATTATATTTTCGTAAAATAAATTACACATCTACTTAATAATTTCTTTTAATTTAAAATGATTATACATTTGACTGATTTGGATATAGCGTTAAATGGAACGAGGTTTGGATGCAGTACTATTGCTCCAAATTAAAATAAGATTAAAAATTTACGATAACGAAAATATATGTTCTGAATTAAACCTGACGCCATACAAAGAAAAAACATTAACTGCCCTATAAATTACTTAATAAACTGTTACATAAATTTCGTATGGAAAAAAAATACAATACCATAGATTTGCATATACATTATCTGTATTCACATGTTATCGTATGTAAGGTGTTTTAAATAACGTGTCTCCTGAAGTTCGCTCAAGAATTGAGTTTTGCACTCTTTCTGCTGTAAAATGTTGTCAACATAGGAAAAGAGACATCGGGTTTGCAGTTTAGATTTGTAGTGTAACTACCAGTACAGTATTACAATTACAATTCATTAGTATATAAGACGTTAACTCGATTCTTTCTTGGGGTATCTTTTGACAGATAAAGGTTGACAACTTCGGCAATCTAGCCTCACATTGGTGACCCGGACGTTATCTAAACATGCCTATGTTGATTACAACGCCCACGTTGATTTGAGCACGTCTACTTAGATGGATAGCTTACACTGAACTAAGGCTCCTATACTATCAGAGCTGACCTATCAAGCAATCTTGGAACAAAAAAGTTCGCAAGTTAACGTTATGTTAGTATTGTGCTTATGTTAGCTCTTTGGAGCAAAAATAGATGATGAGCCGGCCTGTTTAATTCAGGGGCTCTACACTGAACAATTGAGCGCTAACCCCTGATTGGTCAATTTGCGAGTTAGATAGCATACGTCATCGAAAGCTCAGCTTGAGCGACGATTGACGTCCGAATCAACTGCAGTTGGATTACAACGTTAACGACAGTAGCAATGGCGGACATCATCCAACAGAGCATTGAAATCAGCCAAGATTTTGATTTTAACATTACGCATGGCTTCTTCTTCCTCTTCATTTAACTAAGCTATAACGTGCTTTTTCTTGGATAAAGTCATTATTTGTTCTCTAAAGCACTGGTCGACAATAACAAAATCAATACCAATTCAACATTATTAACGCATGCGCAATGCGAGATAATGTCTGCGTTGGACCGACTGCTCACGCTGAGCTAACAAAACAGTATTATGTTGGCGTCAGTGGTACGTCAACTTCCCGCTGACGCCCAGAGAAGGAGCTTGTCTTAAGAAACCAGGCCTTTAGTATTAGAGATCGAATGAAGTGAGTTTTCTGGAATGTCCTTTAGAGCCTTGCTGACAGCCTCTGGAGTTTGTTAACTGGCCCAAAGTGCTTTCATGGGAATTTTCCTGGTTCCAGGACAAAAAAGTGTCTGGGAGAGCCATTTCAGGAGAGCTTTTGTCGCCTTCAAACGGTTAACTTACTTTCAATGCCATTTACAACTAGATTCACAAAAAACTGTCGACTTAATTCGTATTTGAAGATATTTTCATCTAAACATTTTTTTACCTTCATACTTAGAAAAATAGGTGTCATTCATTCTCCTGTTATCAATATCTTTCCATAGGAAAACAGGAAAAGACGGAGTTGGCGTCGCCACTACTAATTCTCCTCTCTCCCCAACGACAGATTGTCCTGAAAAAAAGAAAAAAAATGCTATTTCCAGTTTTTCGTCTAAAGTTTTGATAATACTATTTTCTGTTTCAAAATTTACTGTTGGCGTACGTGCTTATAATAATCAATTTAGGACAAGTTTTTTATCTGTTCTCTTCTAGACAATCGGAAATATTCAGGATTCGATTTCATTCTTTCAGAGTAGATTTTATACTTACATATATGGAACAGTAGTCCAATTCCTAGAATGAACACTGTTCAATTTAAAAACTCCCTAAATTCATTTTTGTTCGAAATAAACATTACAGAAGCTACAGAAATTTCATAATAAGTCTGTTAGATGGTTAAAACATCCAGCAACGGTGAAAGTATATAGATCATCTCTACCGTATGAAGGGCTATTTAACCGTAGGAGAGATCATTTTGACATTTTCTACTGTAAAATTCTCATTGGCTCAAATGTTTTGCCCTACTTACCATTAATTTCCTTCTAACCATAAAATGCCTATCAAAACTTTGTTTTGTGAGAAGATTTAACAATGATAAAAGTTTCAACAATGATTCAAGATTAGAAAGACATGTTTCAATTACCACAGGAAAAGAACAAAAAAATTGGAATTTTTACGACGAAATTTTCGTGTTTCAAAGTAATATTTCTAAAATATATGAGACAGGTTTTTATTTATTTTTATTTTTAAAAAAAAAATATGCTTCGATAATTTTGGAGTTATCGAACGAAACTAGTTATTGCTGAACAAAAATAAGAATACTTCACTGAAAATTATAAATTTTTTAACAAGAGCATTCATAAAAGAGTAATGAGTTGTTTTTGTTGAAATTACCATTGTGATCGAAGTATTTCTGCTTTTTGGTAAATTAAAAATTTTTCAAATTTATTTTTCTGAAATATATGAGTATTCTTTTTTTAAGTGTGAGTGAATCATTTTAAAATGTTTTTAATCACACACACAAAAATAATTATTATTGAACAAAGCAAAGAGATCGAATCACTAAAAATTATTTATTTTTTGAAAAAATTTCTTAAAGAGGAAAGACGAGCTTATAATTTTATAATTACCATTTTCATCGTAGCATTTTATATCCACTCCAAGAGCAGGAGCTTGTATTTCTCCGCCATATGAAGGGGTATTAAATTCGAATCCCGAAAAAGCACCAAACACTTCCGTAGCACCTATAAACATTCAACAGTTTTAACTGCATCGTTCATAAATAGTATTTAGAGCGTGTGGACAAGAAATTTACACTTAATCACTTGGCCCTTGCTTTGATTTCTTTGTAGGAAGTTATCCCAAAGATTCCAAAAATAGTACCACTTAATGAACGCATTTGTTCAGCAATAGAAACGATTGAATACGTTCAACGATCTTTATTACAAAATAGTGGGTTGTTCGGAGAGCAATTTCGTTTTTTTCTTGTGAAAATTAAAGAAGATTTTCTTAAAGTGAGTAAAAATTTTATTGAATTACATATTGTCGATTCTGGTCCAATACCTTTTGCCATCTTTCCGGTAGCATCACGATTCCTAGCAGATAAAAGTTTCGTTCTTTGCTGGTGAAGACTGATTCAGGTGATTTTTGATCTCCCCATTTGAGGTAAAGGTATTACCGTCTAAAATTTTTCGAGAGACCCGAACAAATATTATAAACAATCCATTTCTCGTTCCCAGTGATGATGCGCTTCAAAAATGGATAGTTTTCTTGGTGTCAATGCAATGTCACAAATATAAAAACAAGAGGAACCCATATGTCGAGGTTTGAGAATAAACCTAGCAGTTTCAAATGATCATGAACGGTCAAATTCAACAAATTTAATCTCTCAGCTATCTTAAGAGTTGTAATCTGCCAGTTTGCATTATTATTTTTATTTTATAACCGTTGTTGAACAGTTGACCCAATCTTGAGTTTAGTACTGCAAATTTTTAACTCCGCAGCCTGGTAATTGCGAGCTCAATCTAGATGACAACAGAATCATTTTATTTTATTTTATAACCGTCGTTGAACAGCCGACCCAATTTCATGGGTTTACGACTACTTACGTTCAACTACGTAGCCTTGTAATTTTGAACCAATCCAGAGGTATTGATTTGTTGTGGGAACATGGAGGACTTTGAGACTCGACAGATTTAACGTGCATCAGTCACCATTTACTACACGGGGAGTCTTCGGCCGGCGAGGATCGAACCCACGACCTCTTGGATATGGGCCCAGCGCCCTACCGACCAGGCTATCCCGGCCCCAACAGAATCATTGAAACAAGTTTCGGGAAAAATTTACTTTCGTGAAGAACTTTTTGCCCGAACTAATGCTCCCTTACGTTACATGGAAAGGAAAATCGCAAAACCCCCTCATGGTTAACCTGACGGAAAGGGGATTGTAACAAAAACCTCCTAGAACTGAGAGTACCTCAGTACGGATCAATTTAGGAATCCGACGCAGCAAACAAACTGCGTGGTGGAGGAAAAATAAGAAAGATGTCATTACGTTCAGGCTACTAAGCTGCGCAGTGAGGAAAATTCGAAAGCTGTCATTACGTCTGAAAGGAGGAAATTTCTTGTTTACGGTATTCCGTGCCTTCTCTCTCCTAGGAGGTATTGTTCTGAATCGCTTAGGAATTTAGGAAGTCTTGCTACATAGGAAGTTCTATTCCATGATCCGTCTACCATCAAGGATATTTTACATCAGCACTGAGGTAGATGCGAGTGAGGTGCGGAATTCGTATCGACCAGCCATTGCTGGGATTCGCACCCGGGTCACCTCATTGCGAGGCGAGTACTCCATCCTCTGAGCTACCACGGCTCTCGTCTGCATTAAATAATGCCCTTATTGTGTCTTCCTCAGATTAAACCGGCTTCGTTTATTTCATGCATCTTAATCGAAATTTTGCAAACCACATTTTGTACTGGCATAGACTGTCAATACCTCTTCCACACATTGGATAGGAGTTTTCTTGCTTGAACAGCATTTTTACCTTTTCTGTAGTAAAAATTTAAAATATGCCAAAAATTCTGTTTTTCAGTCTTTATATTTGAAAGGCACTAACCAAAATCTACAATAAGGAATCAATCGAAAATATTCACAAGTAAGATTCCTGCTATCAGCTTTCAAAATTTATAATAATTATGCAATTTTTTTGATAATACTATTTTCTGTNTTGGAAAAGATGAAATCACTTTCCGAACAACCCTATAGAAATTTGGCGCGAAGCAAAACGGTTACGCATCGCATATTTGTAACTGAAAAACTGAAAAAAGATCTTAAATCTTTATTTTGAATTTCGTGTACCATTGTAAGATGTGTAATTGCCTTTAAAATAAAAATATTTAAAATTTGGTCATTCAGTTTTACTGACCTGTATAATACTTAATATTTGTCGAAATTATTTTAAAATTATTAAACTGAATCTTAGAATACGTTCCCATAGTTGCATCGGGAAAAGTTACTCAGGGGAACAACTTGTTCTAAAATAATGGAACTGGTGAGAAAAACTGTTGAAAATTTAATACAACTTTCAACAAATCTATGAATAACTTTGTCTATCAATTTACCGCTCTTTACACTGTAAAAAATAACGAAAATCTACAGAAAAAAAAAACAATTTTTCATAAAAGAAACTGTAGAAAAATAGATTTTTTTTTCTCTTTTTAACTGCTATTAGTTCACTGTTAAAAATTCCCATACTTTTCTACAGACTTTCACTATACATTTGACGGTTTAAAGCTGTTTTGTTGACAAAACTGTTTCTCATCCTAATTATAAACAGATTAAAACAGTCATTTGAAAGTCTTAAAACTTTTGCAACGCAGTTTTTCTTACCGTCTCGCATTGACCACAATGATGACATAGTTTTTATAGTGTTTTGTTTTGTTAAATAAAAATGTTTGAATAACAATTAACTTGGAGCAAAAAGCAGATAAAACATTGCTTTGCTCTTAGCGTTAGTTTCCGAACATTTTGCTGCAGGTTTTACTGCATCAAAAAAACTGGCTTTCCCCATGTAATTCAATTTGATAGTAGTGTGTAATCGGGAAATTCCCTGTTCAATTTTATGCAGGGACTCAACGATTGAAGATTTAAGTGAAAAGATATTGCTATAACTTCAATCATCTACTTTAACTGGAAGCAAAAACAGATAAATGAAGTAAATCTTTTCTGATTTTAAATCTGAGTAAAAGTTGATTGTCATAACTTTAATCGCTGTATTTAACTTAAGGCAAAAGCAGACAAATTAAAGGCTCAAACATATTTTTACTCTACTTAAATGCTATGAACAAAGGGTAACTCACCGTACATGCTTCCAACAAATACATCACTTTTTACTTTACGCAAGTATTCAAAGTTTTGTCTTTTCACTGGACTACCTCCGATTCCTATGACCTTCAGGCAGTCCAAATTCGTACCAGGTTCTACAGAACATATACACACAAAATGCATTAAATTATCAGAAATGAAATAGATAATCCCAAGAAACTGAAGATGAACATATAATTGCCAATTGCAATCTTCATTTGCAAAAACAATATTTTACATGTCGTGGATTTTGATAATGGGTGCCTGTTTTGAAGGCTCGAAACATAGCGAACTTTCACACTTTAATTTTTGAAGCTAATGAAGAGTGCAATTGACAGTGATATCGCACACCTGATTGTAATAAGGTATATTATTTCAAAGGTTAATTTTATCATTAATAATTTAAGCTTGTTTTTAACAAGCTAAATTATTGAAACTGCAACAATATACACAAATTATTATTAGTTGGTTAGAGGTCTATCCTAATGTCTTAAACTCACTTGTGAACGATGTACCGAATTTTTCTCAGTTTTACATAAATGACAATTTCTCATTGAAATTGTACTTTATTCCAAAGAAGAGTGTAATTGATCTTTTAATTCAGAATTTTTGATCGATCGCATCCTTTCGGTCAGTGTCTCCTACTTCGAAATATAGCGTTGTCATAGTAGGTTTTTAAACTGAGGTCATGGATTTTATGAAAATAAGTAATTTAAATGTGTAACATATCACTGGTGTTTGTCGTAATAGTTTGATTAATGTTCCGTGGAACAGAATTAACACGCATTATTTTCATTCATTTACGTTGTATTTTGCATTGTTTAACGATGTAAATTAAAAAGAGAAATCATCTTAAATTATCTGCGGTAATTTATTTTGAATAAAATGCGAAAATTGGGTGTCTTATTTTTTTCAGCACACATTTTTTTCTTCCTAAAGTAAATTTTTAATAAGCAGATTGAAATTTTATTAATTTCTTAGTAACTTTTAGTTAGCATCTAAGTTTAAAATATGCGATTTAGTAACATTGCGAACGATACTATTAAGTATCATTTCTTTGAATTAACAAGGGTGACATATCCTGTGCTGAGGAACCTTCTAAATTGATCAACAAAATAATTGTTTGATTGAAAAAATAATCTTTTTTTTTCTTCTATTGCTATGGAGCACATTTTAACACAATTTTTAAAACAACCCGGAAAAGTTTACATTATGAAATTAAAGTGCAAAATTAAAGGGATTTTTGTGTCAATAAATTCACTTTAACCATCAATAAAAAAAATAAAAATAGTTAAAATTTTTTAAATAATTCCTGTGTTATTATGGGTTAAAATGTGCACAAAAACAATTTTTTGAAAATTGATTCTGTAGTTTCTAAGAAAGCCTACATACATTTTAAAGACAATTTTCATCGTATTCGATATTACAAAAATGAACTATTAGTAATGTAATAAGAAACTCATTATAAGAAGTAGTAGTTTTTAATGTAGAATGTTGAGTTACTTGGCATGATGTTTTCTTTTTCTAGTCTGTCAACGATACACGTGACGATAAAAGCAAAAGTGACCTTGTGCCTGGAAAAGATGTCCCATACATTGGCACCCTTCTCCGTGTAATGCGGGCATCCGGCATGCAGGTATAGCTTCACCCCCAGAGCAAGGGGAGGGATCATCGTATCCCAAAGAGTCCAACCTACCTGATTTCGAAAGAAATATAATCAGCTCTATTTTATTGTTGGAAAACAAAGATAAAAATTAAAAGAACTAAGGATATGTTTTGTGCTGTATACAAAACTAGGCCTACACTGTAAAAATTGTAACTACTTTACACCATAAGTGAAACCGCAGTAATATTTCTTTGCACTGCTTGGTGTAAAGCAGCTTGCAGCTTTTTTGTTTGTTTAGTAACACTCAGCACGTTGAATGCCTCGCTAATTTTACATGGCTTGACAGTCTGGCCACAACGGTAAATAACTACAAACTAAATTTGAAAATATTAGACAGATTTTGCTACTTTTTAAAAGGCTTAGCATGACATATCTTAAAAAAAGTGGTGAATTATAAAAGCCTACGAATTGTTTAGAAATAGTGGTGGATAAAAATCTACTAAATTGAATTTATTAAACCAAGAATCACAATTAACAAATTGCCACTTGAAAATATTGATTCGCTGTCCGGGGCAAGTTGGTTATAAAACTACTTTTGTATGTTCTATATTGTATTAATTTCTTCAACCATTTTAGTAACGATAAAATTAAAAAAATTTAAAAATTTACTGAAATTATGTGTTTCTAATAATCTTGGCTTCGCCGGTCACCGGTGACCCCCGTGGCGCTTCGAACAAACTCAGTGCCGGTCACCGGTGACCCCCATGGCATTCAACGTATTAATAAGGTATGAAACATGTAAGAGTCAGTTGTCTTTTTTTTAATAAACACTTTTCAAAGTTTATTATTAAGATAAAACAGATCGACTTAACATGTTGAATTTTTCGAGTAAGTGCAAGTCTTCATTTATACTTTTAGTTAATTGGACTGGGTATACTTTAGAAAAATTGTTTAAAATAAGAGAAATCGATTGCTTTTTATCATTCCATTGTGATGTCTCTCTTAAATTCATTTTCAATTGAATTATACTTACAGGATAGCATGTATAAATGGTATCTCCAGATTTCAGATTCAGATGAAAAGCGAAATCTCTTAATTCAGCCAAGAACGTCTGAAAATATAATACAAAACCAATTAAGACATAAAAAGAGAGGGAATTTATGTTATTATGCTTTATAATTTATATATATAAGACGTTACGTACATTAAAAAATGAATAAAATTTTTCTTTGCGTAAAAGATGTAAGAAAGCTTTAAGAAAACTGCGTAAAAGATAAAAGCATGTTAATTTAACAAAAATTTCAGTTCTCCTGTAAGGGGAGGTAAAATATTTTTAAGTCTTACAACAGATGGTAGTGAGTTTTGCATTTTTATTTAAAGTGCTCCAAAAATATTTATCATTTATAACGAAATAAATTTGAAACTTTTATTTCAAAAATACTTTTTAACATTTTCAAAAGTAAAACAAATTAGTCATATATTAAGTAAATTTTTACTTAAAACTGCAAAAAGTCACCTACATTCATCTACATAATTTACTTCACTTTGAGCAGTTGTTTAGCTTTAACATTTTAATTAAAAGCCATAAAGCTTATTGTTCAATGAGCATTAATGAAAACATTAAATTGAAATTATTTCACAAAAAAAAAAGATTGTCATAGGAAATTAAAAGTTCATTCTTTACATTTAATAACGTAAACTTCGTTTTTCTTTTTTAAAAAAAATATATGCATGGGGTTTTATTACTTAATTTATTAAAACGTTTTAATAGAACCGTTCGGAGGAGAAGTTCTAAAAATGATTTTTTTGCGTTAGTTTTGGGCATTAACCATAGTTATAAATAAAACTGTTGAAAATTCTGTTTAAGATTTTATTGCACGTATCATAATTATTTTTTGCAAGCTTAGTGATCAAGGTGGATGGCTTGTGGATCGGTGCTACTTCACCGAATTAGTATTCCGACTGTTATCAGAGACCACGTGTTTATTTTTGTTTATAGTTGTGCTTTTGAAGCATGTTTTTATAGAGATGTCCAAGTCAGAAGATGAACTACATCTATGAGTAGATTAAATCTATCAATTGTTGCAATTTTATTGTTGTGAATGGCAACTATCTGCTTACACTATTCCTATTGAACGATACGTATGCTAATCTCAATCGAAATGTTTTAAATATTGGTTGCTATTTAATTGAGTGATTGCCAGTGGCTAGGTAAGTGAAGTAACGCCAGCTTAGACATCTCCATAAAACTAAATAATTTAAAAGAAACATTAATTGCAATAAAAAAATAAGATATATACTGAAAAGCAGAGTCTCTTATTTTTGCTTTCAAAACTATAAAAAAGTTACTTACGTATTTTTAAAAATAATAATGTTGAAGAATAATAAATATATGTCTCTAATGTAAATTACATTATCTCTAATGTATAAATTGTCTACCTTTGACAACAGAATTACTCCTGAAATCAAAAACCAACTCTATCTGGCGAATAGGGCTGTCTATGGGCTGAGAAGATTTAAAATCTAGGTTTCTATCTAGAAAAACAAAGTTCTTAATCTACAAAACTTTTGTTCGGCCAGTCTTGACATACGCTTCTGAAGCTCAGGCATTGACAAAACTGGAGAAAAATTGTATCGCAATATTTGAGAGAAAGATTTTGCGGAGTCACTTTGTGGTGTAAGTGAAAACAATAACAAGAGAAGGATATTTAACTGTACAAGATTCATAAACCTGATATTATTAAATACATAAAAATAAATAGAATGAATTAGATCGCCCATGTGATTCGAATGAGCAATGACAACACAGTAAAAAAGATACTGTTTTTCAGACCCACTGGAAAAAGAAAGCGGGGAAGGCCGCGGTTGAGATGGGCAGACTCAGTGGAGTCTGATTTTCTCGCAATTAAAGAAAAGAATTGGAGATCAAGGATAAATCGGAAGTCGTCATGGAGATATCTTCAGAGGAAGGCATTGGCTAACATTGGGCTGTCTGCCCAACTATGATGATGATGTATAAATTGTCTGTGATGACATATAATGTTCATTATATGTCTCTAATATATATTACATCTCTAATATACATTATGTCTCTAATATACTCTCCATTTTCTTTACTGCAACGCTTTAATTATTAACGCATGTAACTACCATGTTATTATTGCATTTGATGAGTGCACTTACTCCAGCCGAATGGAGAGGAGCCTTTGGAAGTCCAGTGGTTCCGGATGTAAAGTTGATAACTATTGGATGGTTGAAGGGTAATTGTTCAAAAACAATATCTGGAGTAGTTCCATCTGGCGTCTTACCACATTCCAAAAACTCTTCCAGGAAGCAGCTAAACAACACAAAGTTTTGTTTTAAAAAAACTGTAGGAAAAGTTCACAAAATGCGGCTTTATTTGTTTTTAGTGATTGAATTACCTGTTTCTGATGTTTGAAATGTCCCGAGACAATGTTTTATCATTGGTGTGTACAATGACAACTTTTTCCAATGATGGGGTATCTGAAAAAAAAAATTATTTGAAAGTATAAGACTGCATTAAGTATAAAGTATAAAATTATATTAAGAATAGATAGAATCAATCCTGCAAATGTTGCAAGCTCATGGGCACCTGACGGAAAGAGAAAAAGAGGGATACCAAGACTAACATGGCAAAGATGCATTAAGGAAGATCTTATTAGAGCAGGTTTAGCTGGATGGGAAGAAGCAGCGCTAAGTTTGATGACAGAAGTTAACTGTATTTACATTTTAAGAGAATGTGTCTGGTATATTTTCTGATGTCAGTACCAAATACTTTTTTTTCCTAAAATTGGAGAGTGCTTCAATGGAATGTTATTAAGAAATTATACATTCTTCCGAGTTTCAAATTTTTATTCTGAAAGATGTTATACTTTCAAGTAATACCAAATATTCAGCAAACTCGCTATTCGGCTGACCAAATACCAATTATTAGGTATACAGCTGCAAATTCGAATTGCAAATAGTTATTTTAATAATTGTATCATGTTGTATACATACTTTTTATTACAATATAATCTGATATGAAATAATCACGATGATAAATTATCACAATTCTCATGGAATTATATCTCTAAAAATTGAACCATTTTCATATATCAAGTAAAAAATTCTTTATACAACTTTTCATCAAGTAAAAGAATTTTAGCAGTAATTTTTATATATTTAACGAAAAATTTAATGTCATCATGAAATCAAAAGTAAATTTTAAAATTAAATATTTATTAGTATTGAAATAGTGTATAGTAATAGAATTTTTTTTTATTTATTGAAGCCCTACTTTGCGGTTATAAAAATTTATATCATAATAAAAAAACATTAGCAAAAGAGTAGAGACCAATTTTTATTGTACTTTAACAAATAACTCCTAATATGTGTAGATAAATTATTCGAATGATTTATTAAAAATGTATTGAAGAAAAATACCATAACTGTAAAATAATTAACACTAAAAAATAAATTGCTATGAAATAGTGAATTAATTCAAAAATTTAAATAAGGCATTTGAGATCTTGCATTTGAGACAGACTCACATAAATAGAAAATAAACTTACTGTTGACTATATCTTCAAGATTATCTATTGGATGGAATTTAACACCATTATCGCTATGCTCATCGACTGTGAAAAGAACTTTTGGTTCCATTGTGCTCAACACATTTGAAGCAGCCTGAAATGAAAAAAGATTTACTGACAAAGAGCAGAAACACGTAAAGATTTGAAGTCGGAATAATTCCTATAATTCAGTAAAAGAAGATTTTACAATTTAGTTTCGAACAACAAATAATAACGTTAGAGCTATTTAAGTTTTCAGTTTTATTTTTCTGTTGGCTTTAATATGAATAATAGCTTTTTGTTTCGAAAATTGAATTCAGTACTTGGAAGCAGCAGATAATCTTAAATATCAAGCAGCAAACTTAAGTTTAAATAGGCTGAGATGGTGTCATTTTGTCATGAAAAACAGTTTTTTTGAAACTTTTCCATAACTGTTCTATTCAGAGTGATGTCTTATAGATTGTAAGCATGGTTAAAAAAATGTGTTAAAAATTTAGTTTATCTGGTTCTAATTTTACGTATAACCCTTTAAAACACATTCTAGTCTGCTTTAGAAAAATGTTTCAGCTAGAGGTTTATTTTGTATAATCGGTGTTTTGTATAGAACACTCTTGTAATGTTTGTATAGAGCATTTTTATACTGTATTACATTGTATGTTTCATATAGCATTTGTAATTTTGTATAAAATATTTTGGGAAATGTATAGGGTGTAGCAGTCACAGAAAGGTCACAAAAAGTAGTCACAGGACCTAAACAAAGGCATTGTATAAACAAATGCTATTTTTACTTAACAATACTAAACAAAACTTTGATTGTTAGAAACTTGGCCAAAAAATACGTGCTTTTTGTTCGCCAAGGTTAGAAATTAATCAGCATTAGTAAATTAACTAGAATATTCAATAATTAATGAAAGGTACAATTTTATATTAATCAAAAATACCATTTAAACAAATTAGTTCTTGGTATGGTTGAGAATAAAAAGCGTTTTTTTTGGGATGNTATATATATATATATAAAAATATTTATTTCAGCCCTGGTGAGGTATAGAAAGGCCCCTCCCCTCTTTTCGCTACATGCGCACTCAAGAAAGTATGATTATTTTATCAGAGGTTAAAATTAAAAATGCAATTAATTTTCAATTTCAGACTAAGAGATTCATAAATTCATTCCTTTTTTTAAAATAAAAATTAACTTGAAGGTAGCTTTAATTTATAAATTTCAATTTTTATTGATTATTATATCAAAAACTGAGCTGTTTTCAGAAATTTAAATGCTGTATTTGATTTTTAAATATTAATATGTAAGCATTATAATTTTGCATGTTTTTTAAAGCATTAATATGCGATTTTAACAAATCAGTTTGCAAGAATTCATAAAAGACGTATAACACTTACACCCAACTCTATCGTTCATTTTAACGCCGAGACTTCGTAGTGCCGATGCATACAATTTCACTTCTTCAAACATTTCGGCAAAAGTGACTGCTTCTTCATTTCCATCTTCATCTAAAAAAACAAATAAGTAACGTCTAGAAATTTGCTTTCTATAAAATAAGTATCGGTATTTTGATTAAAAAAAAGAATATCTGCAATTATTTACAAAATTATCTACAAAAAATTGCTTTATTTTAACAATTAGGCGGCACCACTTGCAAACCTCAGTCATAGTTGGGGTACCTCGTGCAAGGGCACCGCATCCATCTTTTATTTTATTTTAATTCCATACATTACAAAAAAAGAATTGTCATTTTGTCTATAAAACATATAATTATTATAATTTTATGTAGGAATATTTAGTTCAAATGTTAATCGTTATAAAATGAAGGATAACTTGGATTTGAAAAAAAATTAAATGTGCTTTAAAAAAAAAAAAGACTTAAATTTAGGAATATAGAATGTGTTACAGAATAAGAAGTCATAAATATGAAGTAATTTTACTCCTTAACAATCTATAACGATAACCTTATAGTGTTTAACAAGCCTTAAAGTCTATAGCGATAACCGTATATTGTTTCAAATTCTAAACTGTTTTTCTCTCTTTAGATATTTATATTTTAAAATTTTTTTTTATATAATTTTATAATTTATATCTGACAACACCTGATTACTTCCTCTTATATTTCTTTTATTTTATTTATCGATTTCATTTTTACTTTTGACATAAAGTCAATAACGAGCTAGTAAAATAAAGATCTCGAGTCAGATAAATATTTCAAAACAGTCTATAAATAATCATTATTTAAAGCAAAAAAATTAAACAAATACACGGAAAAAGCACTTAAGATTGTAATAACATTAAAATATTTTTCGAAAAAAAGCAACAAGAAACTCGCGGTTAGTTTATAATTGAACTTGATTGAATGTAGGCACAAAGTCCAAATGAGGACATGCTACGCCAGACAGTACGGTAAAGTTCATAACTGAAATTGGTCTTCTCAACTCTATATTTTAGCTGGAAAAAGATGGATAAACGTAGTTTATTTCTACTTTAAGTTTGACATTTGATTTGTCTCGCATGAAGAATCGAATTTTAAATGGTTTTCATTCCATTGAACCTTCGTAGTTTCAAGTTTCTATGTCTTGTAGGTTTTACACTGCAAAACAAAATGTGACGTTGAGCAAAAAGAAAAAAAAGGGAGAAAAAAATTACAAACAAAGCCTAAAATTTCAATAACTTTTTTAAAAATTAAAATTAAAAAAAAAAAAATTAATTTTGAAAAGAATTATGTTAGGTTTATAAACAAGCATAGATCCTTTGAAATTTCAAGTCTGTAGTTGCATTCTTGCGGCCTGTTCGAAGTTTTGTCTACCCCCCCCCCAATTTCAAGGGTCACGATTAAAAATCAATATGTAAAAAACAATTATGTTTATTTAGAGAAAATGCGTTTTTGTCTCTGATTTCGTAACTCAATTAATAGTTAGCTCTAATTTAGCATATTTGAGGTCCCCCCCAGGAACCATTAAAATTGACACTTAATTCGTGAAAATCCGATCATTAGAACGAAAGTTATTCAGGGTGATATCCTTTTTTTTTGCAGACTGTACACTATGAAAGATTTTAGTGTATCTTAGCACCAAAAAATGGAAGTAAGTACCTTAAACCAAAGTGATCGTTTGCAGAAACATCGTTGATAAATTCACTACAACAAGAAATATTTTTTTACACTACTTGGTGCAAAATAGCTGCCAATATTTTTCATAATAAGTAATACTCTAATTTATTATTACAGTAAGATACACATAAGAGTCGGTAACATTCTTTTTAGGAATACTGATTCTTTGAAGAAAACTACTTTGCTAAGTAAGCATATACTAATCACAGAAAGGATAAGACTAAATTCGACTTAACAAAGCCGAAGCAGAAAGAAATTATACACTATAAAAATAGAAATACAATATAATATATCAGTTCAGAATTTTAAAAATTAAAATATAATTATCATTATTACACCACTAAGGACATACATGTTTTAATGAAGAACTTCTGTTTTCGGAGATAAAAACGTAGACAACAAACGCTAATTCGTATTGGATTGTAGAAAATTTAACTGGCGATATTCAAAGTGCGCCAACATTAGTGTTGCCGGAAACGAAAATATTTCAAGCATGGTGAATGTGCGCGAGAGATTTTTGTAAGGGTTTTCCACTTTAAGTGTTTAGATTTAAATTACTCCCTTTAAATCGTATGCTCTTTGAAAAAAAGTAGTTTGGTGTTGGAATGAACTAAATTTTTCAGTTTAGTGACATTTTTTATTTACTTTTTCACAGCTATAGTTTTTTTTATTCATTCATTCCTTTTTTGCGTGTTTGTTTATTGACATATTTTGCAAGCACATTAGAATTAATTTAATAGTTTTATTGCAAAAACATTTCATTTAACAAAGAAGCACATATTTATGAATATATTTTCACTAAGTTTTATAAAGACTTACAATTTTGTCAATTTAATATAGGATTTTGCTCGCTATCTTCAGATCGGAACTTAAAAATGTACTTGTAACTAAAATATAAAACTGTTACAAAAACATTTTCAAATATAAAACTGTTCAAAATACCTTTTCAGTACCGAACTGTAGTTATCGTGCAAAAAAATTTATAAAATTGACAAAATAATTATTTTAGGGAATATAATTTAATTAGTGTGGATATATTTTTATTTTATTTTATAACCGTCGTTGAACAGCCGAACCAATTTTTGGGCCTACGACTATTAATGTTCAACACCGTAGCCTTGTAATGTTGAACCCAATCCAGAAGACAAGAAAACTCCTGGACGAAGTATTTGGAGACATTTGTCTTCGAGGAGGACTTTTTGATGGAACTAAACTGCATTTGCGTTAGTTACACGGAGAAGAAAACCACAAAAACTTCCCATGGCTAGCCTGGCGGCAAGTGGACCAACCTATGATCCGTCTACCACTGAGGATATTTCACGTTAGCACAGTGGTCGATGCAAGCCAGGTGTGGAATTCGTATCGGCAAGCCATCACTTGGATTCAAACCCGGTTCACCTCATTGGAAGGCATCGTTTTCAAAGTTTTCACAGTGTAGGGGTATCGTGGTATTTTTCCTCGAATTAACTATCGAATTTTAAATCCTTCTGATTCATGGTTCATTTTTGTACACTTTTTCGTAATTTCAAGCTTATAAGTCTTACAGTTTTTGCGCAGTAAATGTTAAATTGAACACCCAAAACAGCGGCGGCAGCTCTCATGATTTTTTAATATAGGGAAAAAAATTAAAACACTGTTTCAAAACAGTAATATTTTTCCTAAAATTTTACTTTCAAAAAGGAAAATCTTGATCTTTTAATCTTGTTGCACCAATTTCTCTTTTGTTTATTTATTCAAATAATGGGAATTTTTTGTTGATATTCATAATATATGAACGCGAAGGAAATAAATAGTTTACAAGCGCTGTCATAAACGATTTCTTAAAGCAAACCTGCCATTGAAGAAGACGAATGACAGCTAGGATACCGTAGAACTCTTATTTCCCCGGAATAAGCTAATTTCTTTGAGGAAAGATGGATTTTACAATTCAGCATACGTAATGAATGCTTTAATGACATAAAACTTAAAAATGAAGTTAGCAATTTGTTTGAAAACTATGCATTGTGTCGAATTCTAGTAGAATGATAGTTACCAGCACACACAAGAGCGACTCTACTGTCTCTTATTCTGAGAATATTCTCGGCATAGTTGAATCTCGCTCCACTGAACCAATCATTATCCAAGAAGCCCTTTCCAGTTTTGACCAAAACCTAAGAAGATAGAAGCCATTTTTTTAATGCTATATAAATATTATTTCATCTTAAAAATCTTGTTTTTCCAAATAAAGTAGATCACACCTTATTTTATATATTTATTTATTAACTTAGTTTTATTATTCTTTATTGTTATTGTTCATAATGTTACCTTATGTCGAATTTTGTTTCAATAACGGCAGCTTTCGTTCTTCACCTCGGAAGATGCCGGAAGTGCTGCTAATTTAACGTTACCCAGTGGGCACCTGGGAACCTAAGTCACGGAGGCGGACAACATGACCCACGCCACACTGCCACAAATACCCGCTCATAGGGTGGGCCACATTCACACACAACAGAGGACAACACATAGAGAGAAACATCCATGCCCAGAGCGGGATTCAAACCGTCTCCATCATAATATTCATAATAAATTAAGTAGAGTCTTTTCATAAATAAGGTAAATCCATAAATTTTCATGTTTGATATGCCTTTTTAAAAAGATTCTTCTAATTTTTTGATTAAAAAATACAGTGTTTAAAAATTTCCATTACTGATAAAAAGACAAGACACAGAATATTCAGTGCTTGGCTACTGTTGAACGTATCATTAAGCCGAAACTATAGTATGTCTTTTTATGTGATATTGCGTTGAATTGAACCGCTTGTTTCATTCAAATTGATCCTAGTATATCGCGTTATCTGTTTAAGTATTATAGTATGCTCCAATCCTAGGATCATATTAAAGTTGTAGTATATTTGAAAATTATTATTGTTCGAACTTTCTAACGGTGTAGGTATTCGATAATACTATAATGAGAAATTCGGCATATTTACCTGATCATAAGATTTTGATCCAATAACTCCAAAATAATGCCAGATTTCTTCCCAACAGTCTATGTAGTTATCTACTGACCACTTGTGGAACTCCCAATACGATCCTGCACAGAAATATTTATAATTAATATACGCATGCAAATTAAATATTTTGTTGAAATTATGAATATGAATGTCATAAATTCAAAATTTCTTAACGTTTGTACAGTTTTCGAAAAATGTATTCATTCTCGAACCAAAATATAAGTCGCTAATAACAAGCATACAAAGGATTGTAATATGTTGTCTCTTCTGTCAAATTCGTTATAAACATTTCTTCCATTACTGCAGAAATTAGAGTTTCGGCAGTAATGCTTATAGAATAAATGCACTAGTTAAATTGACTCAATTTAAAGCTCTGATATATAACTGTAAAATTATTTGGATGTTTTTATATGCAATGAAGTGCTAAAAAAGACCCTTTTTAAAAAAGCCTATTATTGATACAAAAAAAGACTTTTTATAAAAAGCCCATTTTTTTAAAAGCCTCCAACGATTTGAAACAAAAGAAATCACAACTTTTACCAATATTTACTAAACTTTATATATCCTCTTACTACACAGGGCCCGCGCTAATGACTTCAAATTGCTAGACAGTAAATCAGCCAAATATCAAAAGTTTTAGTCAAATTCCGGAAGTCTTAGCCAAAGGCAAATCTTAACAAATTTTTTCGATTAATTTTTTCGCATAGAAAACTGTAAGTCAAAATATAAATTTACTATTAATTGAACTATTTTAAAAATGCAGATTCAGATCAAGAGTCATTTTGCAGTTGGAGTCATGGGTTGGTAAATCAATTGGGTAGAGGATCAATAATATAGATGATTTGAGGAACAGAAATAAAAATAGATTGAGGTTAATTTTTGATAACTTCTTAGACTTGAGCAGCAATATAAGAATAAATTCGAAGCAATATTTGACGTTCTTATACATTTTGACTATCTTTTAAAAGAATATATTTCATTTTAAATAAAATGTTTCATTATTTAAGCCTTATTTTTTTTTGAAAAAAAAAAGAATTTTTACCGTCAATTATTTTTTATTTATTCATTTATCCTTCGGAAAAGAAGAATCTTGGTAGAAAAGTTATTTGAATAATTTAATTCTGTTTTATAGGTTTTTATACTACTCAGAGATTTTTTAACTGAATTTTGGCGGTGGTTTAATATTCTCATAGCCAGCCGTGTGCAGATGGATACTATATCTATTCTTGAAAAGTGGTAATCTATAAAGTTAAATTCTCTTATTTTAGCAGCCGTTTTAATTTTCAAATTTTACAATAATTTAATTTTAATATGTTATTGTCATGAAAGCATATTTTCTGGAGAAAGAATTATATGCATGCAGCTACCATTTAATCAGCTTTATTGACACTTTCGTCATATGATATCCATATATGGCAACGTTACTTTTAAAAAGTAACGAGTAAAAGTACAGGTATTTTTAAAAAAAGTAACGAGTAAAAAGTAAAAAGTTCTTATTTTAAAAAGCAACGAGTAAAAAGTAAAAGTACAAATACTAAACAAAAAAAAGTAGCGATTTAAAAGTACATTTCTAGGAAATCGAAAATTCAAAGTAAACTTAAATTTTATTGAATAATATTCTTATGTTCTTTAATGTTTTTGCAAAATTGTTGTTATTTACTTAATTATTTTTAATTTTGAAAGTTATGGATATTAATTTATTTTTAAATTCGGAAGACTATTATAATATAATTTTATAATATAATTTATAAATCAAATATAATTTTAATATCAAACTTTTTATAGATTTGCACGAAAAAGAAATTTTGTCTATTGATTTTAATTTTTAGTTTATTATTTTTATTTATTTAAATTACCATTGATTTAAAATTGTTTTACTCTTTAGAAACGCGTTTTAAAAGCACAAACATAAACAAAGCTTTGAACTAGTAAAAAATAATTAAATGTGCAGTATAAGTTGAAACAGAAGGTATTTAAACACGAAGTTAGCTGTGAATGCATATATATTGCACATTAATTTTATAAATTAAAAAAACATAATAATTTTTTTTAAATTTAATTTTTATTTCTTTTTTTTTCAGAAAGCTTACATAGTTTTAGAAAAAAGTAACGATTTCATTCGATATTTCCGTCACAAATACTTATACTTTTTCCCTAAAAAAGTAACGAAAGTACAAAATTTAAAAAGTAACGAAGTACAAGTAAAAGCACGTACTTTTTTACTTGTACCGGCGGTACAAGTAACGAAAGTAAAAGTACTGCCATATATGATGATATCAAGTGATTCGACAACAAATGTGTTAATCTGTATTTTCCTTTTTTTGACGATTGCATAATTTCTCTTGTTGCTTATATTATCTGGACTTAATGCAACTCTAATTGGGTATTTGTACTTCAAGAATATGATCAAGAATACCCATACATGTGACCTATGAAGTCAGCCTTAGCTGATCTTTTATAAGCAAAATGGCGTGTTAAAGTCAAGCTAAGTTTTTACACTTAAATTAGAATTCTAATTAATGAGAAGTTAATTAAATACAACGACGTATCGAATTGGTTGAAATATAATTCTTACTCGTTTACGTGGTTTGCATAACTTAGATTTATTACTTGTTTATGTATTTTATTGAATTCATGATATATTTTTCTTTCGTGTACCTAGCAACTTCGATGGATAATTAGTTTATGATCTGAATGGCTTCGTTCCTGTCTTTGTGTTAAGAAATATATAGTGAAAGAATAGAAATCTTTGTGAAAGAATATAGAATGTATCACTTAAGAATATTGATGCTTGGCGGGCTTGGATTATTCGAAAGAGAATGGTAAAACCAGTTGATAACTTAAACAATTGCCACGTTTTAACAACCAATCAGAATAGAGATATCGACACCACGTCACTTGGAGATATCTCTTTAGTTAAGCTACATATCTAAGGGAAATTACTGTAATCGAATAAAAATACAAGATTTGTTTAGAAAATTCATATTGATGTAATTTTTTAAGATCAAGAGGAATATATATTTTTCTGAAGGTAGAATAAATCATCCGCTAAATTAGATTTTTACCGTAAGTCTAAATATGATAATTCAGTATGTATTAGTATGCTCATTTATTCAGTATGCATTACTACTCATTTTTAAATAATTTATGTATTGAGTGTAGAGTTTAATAGTAAGTGTGTAATCGAGTGGCCCATATTTTTTTCTTTTTTACTGATTATTTTTCTTCTTAAATTCAAGTGAAAAATTTCAAATTAAGGATTTTCGTGTATCAAACAAAGCTACTTTTTCAAAAATATTTCAAACATTGATACATTGAGGACACTCGAATAAATTTTTATAAAGTTACGATTATTTATGACTATAACAGTTTTTTTTTTCTTAAATTCATGTTAATTAGATTTTTTAAAAATCAATCGAAAAAATGCATTTATCATAAAAGATAAAAATAATACTCTGCCCTCAAACTTTTTACACTTCTGAAAATTTAAAAAATACTTTTTTTCAGAATTGGAGAAAAAATATCGTAGATTCATTTGTATTTAGAATACTTCCCAAAAATATAACTAAACAAATTCTAAAAAAAATCTTAGTTGGTACGCTCAGTTTATGGTTAGCTGGTTGAATGCATAGTTTAATAGCACAAGAGCCAGGTGTGGCTTTGCTGTACCCAAAGTACAAATATATACAATTAGTCGTATTGACAATTAGACGGGTAAACCAGAATTTCCCGCAAACCGTTACCAAATAAGCTCAAAAATTGGGAAATGAATAGTTTAAAAATCGTATATTTTGCTTTAATAAACCAGAATTATGTTTTTATTTTTATTAGAAATATCACACAGTATTGTAAATGTATCAGAATATTTTTCTCAGTGTCCAATATTAGGCAGAAATGTTGTTTAAAATGTGCAAAATTGCTTTCTGGTATTAGTTTCCAAAAATGTAGTTTGAGTCGTGTTTGAATTTTTGCAAAGTTCCTGAAAACAACATAATTTTTTGCAAGTTTTCAATAAGTTTTAACGAAATGCAGTCGTATCACACTGTGGCACGCATGCGAGGTGGTATTATATATTGCGACTTTCAATATCATACAATGAAACACTCTTTATAATCTACGCTCTCATAGTTTAAATTTTTAACAAGGTGTTTGAAAGTACGCATTAAAAGCGGTATTTAGAGAACACTCTGTACTTTGAATAAAAAAGGTATTTTTGATCCTGAAGAGTACAGTCTCTCAGAAAAAAAGCATGTTATACTTACCAAAATGTTGGTTGTATTTTTCTTCTATAACTCTCTTGAATTTATCCATTTCTGTATCAGGTACTTTTTTGTTCCATATGACGATTGGTTTTGAAACCAGAGTTTCAATGAGGCCATTTTTACCAGAACTCACTGAAACACAGCAGTTATATTAATATTCAAAAACTTCAAGGTGAATAACTATATTTAACCAATTGAAAAGGGTAAAATAATAATACAAAAATAATGAAGTAATATGAAACACTTTAGCTCATTGCAGTTTATTCTAGAGGATCGATTGATACAAGGCAAATTTTAAATGATATCAAGAATTTACGAACAAAGGATTTATTTACAGTTTTAATAGGATAACGTAATTAGCATTTAGATACGAGTAACATCAGGCTATTTTATTTATATAGATCATGGATATTGATTTACAATTATATGTTCTTTGAAATGCATTATAATTTTGAAATTCCCTTTACGGTTTTTAGAAAAAGATTATGTATAAAAAAGTTCAGCAGTCAATAGATTAATTTAGTGGAATAGGACAAAAAAAAACTGATTTTGAGTAAAACTTTTTGAATTAATCAAATCCACACTTGTTAAAGACATTTGTTAGTCGACCTGAAGTTAACAGAGAAGATTAAGGGAGAAAACGGTTTATATCCATCAAAGTTGATTCTGAGAAAAAAAAAAACGAATTTGAAAGCGAACAGGAACCCTTTCTCCATAGCACTGCCTATCTTCACTGAGCAATAACTCTTGGGGAGAAATGATTTTCCATGTTATTGATACACCATAACTTAGTAATCCTCAAAAAGCAACAAATTACGATTCAACTGTCATTCTTGTGAATTAAAGACAAACCGTTTTTTTTTCTTCCTTTATCTTCATTTGTTTGATAATTGTAATTTTAAAGAAGATTGTTTGAACATAAACCACATTTGTTGAAGTGCAATGAAAATCTTCCAATATTTTTTTTAATGATCATGCCAAATTTAAGAAAATGTACTTCGTATAATTCCTTAAACTGTTTATTTTTTTTATATTCTAAAATATATATTTCGTCTACATTTTACAGTTTACGAACAATACTATTTTCAAAGTATCATTTAATAAAAAATTACTGATTAAATAATTACTTATAATTGCTTACCGATACAATGATTACTTACTATAATTATAGTATTATGTATAATTATGTATCGTATTATAGTACAGTAATTATAAGATACTATAATTACTTACTACAATTATATAAATTTTTTTTCTTTTTCTTTTCCTTCTAGACGCGGATACGTACCCAGGTTAGTAAAACCCTTACCTGTATAATCCACTTCTGGAATAATAGTAATTATAGTATATAATAATATCACTGTAATTATTTACTGGATTAAAATTTAATAATAAATTATCGTATTATAAATTAATAAATTAATAAATTAATAATAAATTATAAATTAATAAATTAATAATCAAATAATAAACTATTAAATTGATTAAAATTTAATAATAAAATAGAGTTTGCTCCATTTTTTAAAGAAGATTATAGTATATAATAATATTACTCTAATTATTAACTGATTAAAATTTAATAATAAATTACCGTATTATAAATTAATAAATTATAAATTAATAAATTATAAATTAATAATAAATTATAAATTAATAATAAATTATAAATTAATAATAAATTATAAATTAATAATAAATTATAAATTAATAATAAATTATAAATTAATAATAAATTATAAATTAATAATAAATTATAAATTAATAATAAATTATAAATTAATAATAAATTATAAATTAATAATAAATTATAAATTAATAATAAATTATAAATTAATAATAAATTATAAATTAATAATAAATTATAAATTAATAATAAATTATAAATTAATAATAAATTATAAATTAATAATAAATTATAAATTAATAATAAATTATAAATTAATAATAAATTATAAATTAATAATAAATTATAAATTAATAATAAATTATAAATTAATAATAAATTATAAATTAATAATAAATTATAAATTAATAATAAATTATAAATTAATAAATTATAAATTAATAAATTAATAATAAATTATAAATTAATAATAAATTATAAATTAATAATAAATTTTAAAATAATAATAAATTAATTATAAATTAATAAATTAATAATCAAATAATAAACTATTAAATTGATTAAAGTTTAATAATAAACTAAAGTTTGCTCCATTAAATTGGAGCAAATTTTAGTTTGCGCCATGAGGATCAGTAAAGCAAACTTTTCATAATTTCATCAAAACATAACGTGATCAAATATATATTTCGTAACAATTCTTAAAGCGATTTTACGACATAACTGATTCAAATTTGTCATTTCATAACCTTCTAGACAAGAGAATACACAAAGCGAGTTTTGAAACTCGTGATATTCGCGTCATTAATTTCTAATGTATTTTATTATCTTAATTTACTTAATTTCAAGCTAAAACTTCTTAAATACCGATAATCGTTTCACTCCATTTATCTATACATAAGTAGATTATTACCCGTCAATTAGCGGAAAGGTGTTAAAATTAGTAGTATCCGATTAGAATAAGCCGTGTTAACACAGAATGCCATGCATTGTTGATGATATGAAATAAATATGTGATTTAAGGACTTACACAAAAACGTACTTTGCTCTTTTCGAGGGATTCTGATTTCTCACCACCCTAACACAGGGGTAGTCGGAATCTGGGAAATACGCTCCCAATACTTTGGTCAGAAGAACGGCACTAAGTTTGGACCCTTTTATGTTAATTTTACTTTTTCCGTTTTTATCATATCTCGAGAACTTTTTAAGCGAATTATAAAAAAATTTGCACGTAATTATAAAATTTGTTTATTCAAAGATAATTCCATACAAAAAATACCTTTTAGTAAACATTTTGTATTTTTTTTAAAATAATAGTCGAAGGAATTTTGAATTGTACAGTACACATTTTAAACATCATTTCAATTAATGTAATTTTACAAAACAAATTACAAATTATCAGCGAAATTGCTCGAATAGTTCCTGAGATAGAACTTTGAAAATACGATTTTTTAAAATTCAATTTCGCTGGAACTATTCGACCGATTTGGTTCAGATCTTTTATTTTGCAAAGTAAAACTATATTCTTTAAAATTTAAAAATTGAATGCCTTATATTTAAATTTTTTATTATTATTAAATAAAATATAATTAAATGAAATATAATTAAATGAAGACGCCCGGGGGCTGAGCGGTAGCTCTTCACGCTGTCGTGCCACAGGTCCGTGGTTCGATCCTCGGGCCGGGCAAGGTTGACTTAGCCTTTCATCCCTTCAGTGGGTCGATAAATGAGTACCAAGCATGCTCGGCTGACCAAGCATCCGCGTTCGGCTGACCACCTGACCGGAACATCTGCTCCTGCACCCCAGAGCCCAAGGTCAAGAAAACTGAGATGGGCACAGTAGGCCTTGGCCCTCTAGGGCTGTCGCGCCGCTGAGTTTAGTTTTTTATAATTAAATGAAATATAATTAAATAAAAAAATTGTAAAATTTATATTTTACTTGGATAAACATTCTCTTTGGATAAACATTCTTACAATTGTATGCAAAAGTTTTCAATTTTCTAATAAGTTTTCGAAATAGGGTTAAATATGCAAAGAATAAAATTAACATTAAGTGGTTCAAACTTTGGACCGCTCTTCTGATTAAACTATTGGAACCCTATTTCTCAGATTGCGGCTTCACAGAAAACGGAATATAGGGGGTGAAATATCCGAATCAGTCAAAAAAAAAAAGGTAAGTTTATTCAGAAGAAGTACGTTTTTGTGTCTGATTTTGCAACTTAAACTATCGTCTGCACTAATTCATTAGCATGCTTGAGATTGCTGCGTTGAACCATTAAGATTGAGTCCTAGAACGTGAAGATCCGATCATTGAATCAAAAGTTATTCAGGGAGGTCCGTTTTTTATTCTGCGCACTGAACTTAATAGTTGTGCATTAATGAAAATTAATCCTGCGAATTGGAGCAGAAGATTCTTTCATGTGTTCAGTAGGACTCCACAAAACTAGTCTCAGTCAATTTTTTGTAAAATTTTAAATAAATAAAATTATTTTAGTATTTTTTTTGTGCCTTAAGAACTTTAAACTTTAATTCACTAAATCTAACAATATTTATTTCGCAATTACTTATATTTCATGACAAAAATAAAAAGGTCAAAAAGTAAATGTTCTACAAGAAAATTGTTTTGTATAAAGAAGTAATTTTAATATTTTCTTTTTTTCTGTAAAATTGTTAAGGTGCGGTTAAAATAATGGTTTGAAAAATTCATGGGGTTTGGAGGTTACTCCAAATTCCTTCAACTTCTGAAAACTAAACAATCGCTCAAAAAAAGTTAAAACTGTAACATATAATAAAATACAATTCACGATTTTTAAATAGAAACAGCGAACATTCTTACAGAATCTGGTTTGATCATTCTTTTTAAAATGTGCCAAACAAATTCTCAATTTTTAAATATATATTTCATATAAATTTTTATTTTGATTAAAAGTTAAGATTTGAGGTTCAGCTTTGGGAATTACTTTGTATTAAAATAAAAAGTTTGTTTTAAAAACCTTTAATTTTTACTTAAAAACGTTTGCTTCGGGCAGAAAAAAAATGGAATGCATCTATTCTTCTCTTAAGATTATTTCTGACTAAACTATTTTTTTTCCTAACTGTCGTTGAACAGCTGACCCAATTTTTGGGTTTACGACTACTAATGTTCAACTCCGTAGCCTTGTAATTTTGAACCAAATCCGGAAGACAAGGGAACTCCTGCATTTAGTAATGGGAGAAATTTGCCTTTGTGGAGGACTTTTTGATGGAACTAAACCGCATTTGCGTTACATGGAGAGGAAGACCGCGAGAACCTCCAACGGTTAGCCTGACGGCAAGGGGACTCTAGCCCATGATCCGTCTACCACTGAGGATATTTCACGTCAGCACTGTGGTCGGTGCAAGCCGGATGCGGAATTCGTATCTACCAGCCATCGCCGGGATCGAACCCCGGTTCACCTCATTGGAAGGCGAACGCTCTATCCCCTGAGCCATCGCGGCTCGACTCAACTATTTTGTTCGTTTTCGAACGGTA